CGGAGCTCTGCCCTCACTTAAAAACAGCACTGCTAGGCACCAGCCCGGTGGCGCAAGCAGTTAAGTGCGCGCACTCTGCTTCGGCGGCCCGGGATTTGCAGCTTCGGATCCCGGGCGTGCACGGACGCACCGCCTGTCAAGCCATGCTGTGGCGGCATCCCATATAAAGTGGAAGAAGATGGGCACAGATGTTAGCCCAGGACCGATCTTCCTCAGCAAAAAGAGGAGGATTGGCAACGGATGTTAGCTCAGGGCTGATCTTCCTCACACACAAAAAAAAACAAAAACAAAAATCGCACTGCTATAAGAATTAGATAACACCTGCATAACACTAGCACATAGTCAATGCTCAACATACAGTATTTGGAGAGTACTGATCAAGAGTACAGGCTCCTGGGGCCAGAGAGCCAGAGTTCAAATCCCAACTCCATCATTTACTATGTGATATTGAGCAGGTTCCTTAACCTCTCTGTGCCTCAATTTCCTCATCTGTAAAATTGAGACAATGGTACCATCATCACAGGGTTGTTGTGAGGAAGAAATGTATTAATACACGTAAAGCACTTAGTAGCAGGCTCACAGCAGGGGCTAGATAAATGTTAGCTCAGGTTCAAGAGTCCCAGGGAGTCAATTCCAGTTCTGTCACTGTTGTATAATAAAGAATTTGGCTGGCCTTTGTCTCCTGTTCCTGGCAGGTAGCCTCTAAACCTTTGGAATTTCCCAAATGATAGTAGTATTTTTGTTATTCACAGTGGGCCCTGTAGTTTAGCTAACAGGTGAGTCATCATAGGTCCCTAGATAGTTTACGCTAATGAGATGACTCAGCATGGGGGCTAACCACCCCAGAAAGACCCAACACAAGATTGGAAGGTTGGGGCTTTGAGTCATGTGACATAAACCCAGCCTCTGGGGAGGGAAGGAGCCAATAATCCAGTCAATCATGCCTATATAATGATACTCCAATAAAAACTCTAGATACATGAGTGAGCTTCCCTGGTTGGCAATATTCTGCATATTGTCGCACACTGACGTATCAGGAGAGTAACAGGGTCCTGACTCCACTGGGAGAAGACAAGGAAGCTTTGTGTTAGGAACCCTCCTAGACCTCACCCTATGCATCTCCCCCTTTTGCAGGTTTGGATTATATCCTTTTGCTATAATAAAACTTTAAGTATAGTGCTGTCCTGAGTTCTGTGAGTCATTCTAATAAATTATGGAGCCTAAAGGGATCATGGGAACCCTTGAATTTATAGTCAGCAGGTCAGAAGTGAAGGTGGTCCTGGGAACCTCTAAATCTGTGGCTGGTGTGTGAAGTGGGGGCAATCTTGTGGCAGACTGTGCCCGTAACCTGTGAAGTTTGGCCTAACTGTAGCTAACTGGTTTTAGAAGTCATTGCAGTCACTAGCGTGCCATGTGACTCCCACCCTATCCTCCATCCCAATCCCTCCTCAATATCTCTTGTCAAGAGAGTTAGTGACATTGTTTAGTGAGCTGAGGCAGGATCTGTGGTCCTCCAGCCCCACATATGACAGGCAGGGCTTCCAGGCCCTCAGCTAGTAGATTCTGCTTTCGGACTAGCCCCTCAGTGGGGATGAAAGGTGACTTGGATCCCATGTCCCTCCCCTTCTCCCTGTGCAGGCAGGTTCGTGCACATATATGTACATGTGCCCACAGAAACACACATGCACACTTTGCTGCCTGACTTGGGCCAATGAGGGGAGCAGGTAGAGGCAGGGCCAAAAACATACAGCAAAAGCAAGGAGCCTTTAGAAGGTGGTTGGGATCAGATGGGTTATATATTAACCAAACTCCAGAAGAGAGAAAGGAGTCAACAAGGGCAAGGGCAAGGGGGGGGGTGGGGGTGGGGGTGGGGGGGCATCCATCAGGAACCAGCTCAGTCCAAGAGGCCTGTCTCCAAAAAGTGGGGAGGGGGTGGCTAGTGGCATGGTTTCTAACCAGCCCCTTCACCTGGGACCAGCTTCCTTCCAGATCCCAGGCTATAGCCATTACTATAGCTTTTTCCTGCTCCCTAAATAGATAGGCAATAGACAGGCATTACCCAAGATTCTGTCTTTTCAACTCTATGCAGATGACTCCTGAGTCAACATCTCTAGTCCTGACCTCTTCTGAGCCCTGAAGTCCAGGTTTTAGAGTCCAACTGCCTGCTGGGTATCTATTGGATGGCCTGCCAATATCTCAAACTAAGTATGTCCAAAAGTGAATTAATCAACTTTTAGGGCCCTCATCCTCCTCTTATGTATTTATGTCCAGGGTATCATTATCCCTCCATTTGTGTATATCCTTGTTTTTCAAAATGTGGTGTTGGGAGCAGGAGCAGCAAGACCTGGGAGCTTGTTAGAAATGCAGAATCTCAGGCTTCATCCTAGACCTACCAAATCAGAATCTGCAATTTAACAAGATTCCCCAGATGATTGCTATGCACGTTAAAGTTTGAAAAGCACTGATCTAAGACACATTCTCCCTAGCACTGCAAACCCTCAAGGATTCTGCCTTTCTCAAATCCTCCCATCTCTCACCACTGCTGTAGTCCAGGTAGCCATCACTTCTTCCTGGAACCTATAACAGTTTCACTGGTCTCCTAGATTCCAGACATTTCCCATGGTAACTCTTCCCCTATTAAGTTGTCAAATTCATGATTTTAAACCCGTTCCTCTTCAAAAATTTCCACTGACTCCTCATCGCCTATTAAACCTCCCAGCTTAGTAGTCAATATGAAGAAATAACACTTACTGCATGACTATTACGTGCCAGGCACTCTACCAAGTGTTTTACATGTGTTAACTCATTTAATGCACCTAACAACCCTATGAGCTAAGTATTACTGTACCTCCATTTTACAGATGGTGAAACTGAGGCATTGTGGGGTTTGGTAATTTCCCCAATAACCCACAGCTTGTTAAATGACAGAGCTTAGAATCAAAGCTAAGCTATTTGACCCCAGAGCACACATTCATAACCACTGTTCCACGCTGCCTCCGTAATTCAGTAGCCTTATCTTTTAAGGCTTAACTCCTAATACTTTCCTGTGCTTCAGCTAAAGTGATCTATCTCTTGTTCTATAAATACATTAGCACCTCCCAACCTCTGTACCTTCGCCAATGAGAGGCTGTGTAACATTAAGGGAAATAGTCTGGGTTTCAGAAGCAGACCTAGGTTCAAATTTCAGGCCTGGCCACCAACAGGTTGTGAGACTCTAGGGAAATCATCAAACCTTTCCAAGTCTCATCTCCTTATCTGAAAGTAAAACAGAGTTTAAAAACCACCTAACTGAAATGGTTGCTATGAAGTTTAGAAAATATGCAGAGGATGTCCAGCAAAATCCTGGCACATAGCAGGTGCCCAATCATTGATAGCTCTTATGCTCACCTAGAATTTCAAATCCTATCTACCCTTTGAGGACCTCTCGAATATAACTTCTACTTCGTAGCTTGCTTCGTTACCCCAACTACACACGATAGCATCTTCTAAATTTCATTAATATTTTATGTGTAACTTTCTATTATATACTCCCTTATCTCGGCATTGTACATTTGTCTTATCCCTACAAATCAGACCGTAAGCACCACAAGGGCAGGTCATTTGTACTCCCTAAAGCAACTGGCATAGTGCATTACACACTGTGGGAGTTCAATAAACATTGCTGAATACAAGTGGATTGGATACTGAGTAATGAATGACCAGAACCACTAAAATTAATTGGGGAAAGCTTCATAAAAGACGGATGGGGCAGTTGAGAGGAAAGCCAGTAACTAAAAACAGCTAAGCACCAGTAACTATGTCACACCAGGCTCCTTTAGTACTCTCACTAATTCTGTGATGAGTTACTACCCCATTTTCCAAATGAGGAAACTGGGGTTCAAAGTGTTTTCCTCAAGGTCACAACTGCTCCATGAGAAATTGGACCTACTCTCTCTCATTGCTGTATCTCCTAAAAGAGTGCCTGGAACACAACGAATGCTCAATAAAATTTGTTGAATGAATGAAGAGATGAATAGAGCTAGTAAACAGAACCAGGACTAGAATCAATTTCACCTGACTCCCAGTTCAGTCCTCTACTAAGTCAGCAATTTAAAACAGAAGAAAGAGATGTACCATTTTTTTGAGCAACTGCTATATAACTAAAGACTGTTTGGGAGATAACTAAACACTGTTCAGGAGGAGGGACTTGGGGGCAAAATGTTAATTATACTCCTCAGTTCACAGCACTGATTGTATTATACACTTTACATAAATTATGTCATTTCATCTTCCTAAAAACTCTTTGAGGCAGGTATTTTTCTCTCCATTTTACAGATGAAGAAACACTCTCCATGAAATGAGTTGCCTCAATTCACACAAGTGGCAGAGTGGGTGATTCCAGCCCAGATAAGTGTAACTCCAAAACCTGGACAAGTATTCCTAAATACTTGTCCAGGCTTTGGGCTTGTACTTGCAGTAGAAATTCTATCCCCCGTAAAGACAGGAGCAAGAGAGCCTCAAGAAGAGGTCTGCAAGGCGCTGAGACAGGAAGGGCAAGGATTAAACCAAGACTACTGTGGTCACTGAACGAATCAATAATCAAGTTCTAACGTCCAATGGGAAACAATCTCTCATTAATCCTAGAATGCTGCTACTCCAACAAACGCTAGTGACAGGTCTTGATAAGATGAGGGGACAGCAGGAGCAAAGATACTTAAAAAATAACCTAAAGCTTGGCACTTAACCCAATGTAGGGGACGAGGACAAGCCCAGACAGTAGGGGAAAGGAAAGTGAATGGCAGTTTCACAAGAACGTGTGGAAGGAATGAGGAGGGCAGGGGGGAAAGCTGTTAGCCCAAAGAACAAGTGCAGTGTTGGGATTGGTTCTGGCATCGGGTACAGGAAGGGCCTGCCGGGAGGAAGGGGATCCGGCTCTCTCACGCCACAAGCCCGTCACCCAACTTCCTTAAGGGGCACTCTGCCTCACCCTCGGTCCCTTTTGTCGCAGATCCCAAGCTCACCAGGGGCCTGGACGATGCTGTCACCGGGTCTCCTGGAGACTCCGCCGCTTCCGCCATCTTGGCCCTCCTTCTCCCCGGTCGCTCCCACAGGCCTTTGCGGAACCTGAGACGTGGAGGCCGCGGCCGGTCAGCGCGTCATCGCGTGGCGGCTGCGTCACCGAAAGGCGCCTAGCAACGGCTGGCGGCCCCGGCCCTTCCTTGTCCCTTGTCCTCCGGGTTTTAGGGAGAGATCCGTGTCGCCTCGCCTCGCTTCTTCGGGGCCACGGGTCCCACTAGACACGCTCCCCCTTTAACCCTCAACCCCGATTCTCAGATCGCTCCGTCGGTCTACGGACCACGGCTGCCTTCTCTACTCCACCGCCCCCACGCACCGGTTTCCCGCTCTCGGGAGTAGGCTCGGAGTGCCGGTCCCACGAGCACGGCACCTCATGGAAAAAGCCTGCTCCTCCCCCGGCCGCAGAGAAACTTCAAGTTTCCGTGCTCCTCAATAAAGAGATCGAGCCTTTCCTAATCAACTGCTCCCTTTGCCGTTGCCCCTGCCAGGCTGATTCCCTGCGCTTCTCATCCAGCTACCTAGCCCCTTCCCACTTCCTTGACCTTTATAAACTAATATACTGTCTCCACACCGACCTCCAAGATTACTTTTCTCCTTCACCCCCTTTGAGGAGGAGGGGAAGCTTCTCTATACACATTGGCCAAAATTTTAATCTCACTACAACTTTCAAAGTTGCTAAGCGATTTCGGGCAAGTACTGAAAATGTTCAAGGTCTAAAAATGGGTGATTATTTTAAGAATAACTTTAAAAAAAAAAAAAAAAACGCTGCTTGTCCCAACCTCTTTTCACTACCTCATCCCGGGACTTTTTCAGTGTTTCTGACTCCAGTTTACCTCTGCCCCACGCTAAAATGAGGTCAAGCAATACATCCATTGTTGATGCATGCAGTATTCAGGATACCGGAGTGCCCTTGGGGGATGTGAATACCAGTTTTCCCCTTTTAACAAACAGGGTAGGGGATGGATGTGAAATAAATTGCTTTATATGTGTGGATAGGCAATCCAGGAAAGCACCCAAGTAGTGAAGTTAAGGAGAGAGAATGTGGAATGTGGTGGGACAAAATTCCCAAACTCATGGAGTGTGCGTGTGGTTGTTGTCTTGTTTTGTTTCAATATTCGTATAATTCTCCTTCAGACCAAGCACATTTTCAGTACTTACACAAATACTGATGAAAGTGATAATAAAATTTAAGCCAGTGGATATGAAAACTTTTTTTTTTTTATTTCAAGAGAATATTATATACAATTCCCCAGCCCAGGCCTCAGCCTCCCACACCCACTCCACCCCTCCTCCTCCAAACCCTGTTCTGATTTCCAGCACTTATTATTGGATTACCAAATCCCTTCTGGCTTCCCTGAGGTCGTTGAAAACCTCTTCTATTTCCTTGCCACTCTCCAAAATTAGTTTCTCTCTCCCTAACTGCAAGCCCCAACTTTTCCACCACCTAACCTCATCTCTTGGCCTGTTTGCCACCCGTTTCAAGATAGCCTCGATGCTGGGTTAAGAGGACGACAGGCCATAAAATTGTTGAGGCAGTCCATGTTCAGGTTACTTAGGCATTATTTCAGACTAAAAATGCCAGTTTTCCTCATTTAACTAATAGGGTATGGGTTGGGTGTGAGATAATATGCTATGAAGAAACTCAAGAAGGAATGTTGTGGAGGAAGGGGGTGTCATAGGGACAAGCTCCTAAAGTAGAAATTATTTTATGTTTTTAGTTGCAAATATATGTCACAAAATTGCCAAACTAATTCAGTATTCTTTAATACACTTAGAGTCATTACCCTCTTGAGCAGGATTTACATGACTTGCCCAAAATTGCTTAGAAACTTTGTAAATTATGGAATTGCGATTAACAGTTGGGCCAATAGGTATGGAGAACTTTTGTTAGTTGTTCTAAATTACAGGACAATATAACGTACAACTCTAGGAAAACAACTGAAAATTTTAAGGAATCAGGCAGTTTCCTAGAAAAATGGTAACAATTAACTCAAAAAGGAAGTAGGGAATTTCATTAGGACAAAATTTTGGAAGAAAAAATTTTAAATATATGAAAAGCAAGGTGCAGAACAGTTTGTATGGTGTGCTACCATCTGGGTAAAAAAAAGTAAGAGTAAAGGAATATATATCCATATGTTTGAATATTCACAGACTATGTACTAATGGCTACACAGAAACTGGTAATGGTGGTTGCCTCTGAGGAGAGAACCTGAGGGACTGGCAATAAGAGGTGGGAGGGACTATTAACTGACTTTCAAGGGAGGACTGTTCAGTGTATGACCTTTCATGCAGCGTGAAATTTTTACCATATCCATGTGTTACTTAAAAAAAGTTGCCAAAGATCTATCCTCTCCTCCCACCCCCTAAGTGCTGGATGGTTTTGGCTTCAAGGAGCAGATAATTCCTACGCTACATAAATTTTTCCAGAGAGAGGAAAAAGGAAAATTTACAAATTTAATCTAGGGACTTAGTGTAAACATGGTATCAAACCTGACAAAGATAGTACTAAAAAAGAAAACTGTCAGTCTCACTTATTAATATAGGTACAAACATCTTAAACTGTTAGTAAATCAAATCTGGCAAAATAATAATAATACCATGATCGAGTACAGTTTTTCTCAGAAATATAAAGTTCTTTCAGAAGCAGGAAATGCAGTTATGATAATTGATCATTTGGACAGATCAAAGAAAAACCATCATCTTGATGCTGAAAATTCAACTTCATTCCTGAGAATAAATACATTAATAAAGTAGGAATAGGAGGATACTGACTTAATGTGTTAAAGAAATCTGTCTCAAATCCAAAGCCAACATCTTTCTATACATGGCATTCCCATTAAGCCCAGGAACAAGAGAAGAATGCTTATTATCACCACTATTATTTGACTCTGTTCTGGAAGTGCTGGACAGTGCAAGTAGACTCTTCCTCCTCTTGGGGCCAGGGCCATCGCGTTGCTCATTCTCTCTGAGGCCATTGGTCCCCCTGGGTATTCTCACCCATTAACCCCAGCTTAACCCTCTCTAATACGCAAGCAGCCTTCCAGCGCTATAAACTCCAGGCACGTTTCCCACTTTCTTTTATTTTTTTATTTATTTTATTTTATTTTATTTTATTTTTTTGTGTGTGTGTGAGGAGATCAGCCCTGTGCTAACATCCGCCAATCCTCCTCTTTTTTTGCTGAGGAAGACGGCCCTGGGCTAACATCTGTGCCCATCTTCCTCCACTTTATTTTTTTTATTTTTTTTTTTTAAAGATTTTATTTTTTCCCCCCAAAGCCCCAGTGGATAGTTGTATGTCGTAGCTGCACATCCTTCTAGTTGCTGTATGCGGGACCCGGCCCCAGGATGAACGGAGAAGTGGTGCCTCGATGCGCACCCGGGATCCGAACCCGGGCCACCAGCACCGCAGCGCGCGCACTTAACCACCAAGCCACAGGGCCGGCCCAATCTTCCTCCACTTTATATGGGACGCCGCCACAGCATGGCTTGCCAAGCAGTGCGTCGGTGCGCGCCCGGGATCCGAACCAGCGAACCCCGGGCCGCCGCAGCGGGAGCGCACGCACTTAACCACTTGCGCCACCGGGCCGGCCCCTCGTTTCCCACTTTCAGTACTGTATTTCCCGTTCTTGGCATTTGCCTCTCCCAAAGTATAGCACTTCTCTGTATAAACACTCCACCCATCTTTGTGTAAACATAGTTTCTCTTCCCTCTTGTTGTAAAGAATTAGTGATAAACACCCTCCTAACCTCTCTATTTGCCTCCACCTCTCTATTTGCTGCCCTGGCCCAGCCCTAGCCTTACCCTATTCTCCAATCCTTTCCCACTTCCCTGAGGGTTTTATAACTTTTATTTCCACACCAATTTCCAAACTAAGTTATCTGTCTGACTCCTCTACCATGTACCTCATCCCTGGGCTTTCTCAGCACTTCTGACTCAAGATTGCCTTGTCACTGGGCTAGTAGGAAGTCAGGTTATAAAGCAATTGTGGATTCAGTCAGTATTCAGGTTATCTGGGTGCCCTTTCAGGCTACACATACCTGTTCCCTGGATAAGGGATTAGTATAAGATGAAGTAGAGTGTTCTGTATCCTTTGGATAGGCAATCCACAAAAACTCCAAAGTCGCTCTAAAAGTAAAAAAATGTGAAGGACGTGAACAAATTCACAGAATAGGAATTGTCATGATTTTTTTTTCAGTTACAAGTATACCCAGCAACATTTCTAATCATATACACCTACATTAATTATTCTCTTTCAAACCATGGATATTTTCAGTAGAGCAGTTGACATTTGCTTTTTTAATCCGTAAAATTACATTCACACACTTAGCCTGTGTCCTAATTGTAATTTTATAGCAAAAGAGACCATTTTCCAATTTATTTTTTCATACTTACACATTTGTATGTATTATTCAATTTGATTAATACTTTCCCTAACATTTTACTATGAAAACGTTCAAATAGATAGAAAAGTTGAAAGGGTAGTAGAATAAAATGTGAAAGAACAGTACAATGAGCACCCATATATGTACCACCTGGATTCTACAATTCACATTTTGCTTTTTCTGCTTTATCACATTTCTATCCATCTGTCCATTCATCAATCCACTGATGTGTCGATTTGTCTCATTTTTTATACATTTCAAAGTAAGTTGCAGACATTAGTATACTTCATATGAGCCTAAACATTTCTGCGTGCATTGTTTTGAATGGATAAGGTAGATCTTTGTGTATTAACATATAAAGATGTCCACGATATATTAAATGAAAAAGGCAGCTTATAAAAAACACTATTTGTGTTAAATATAAGGATTAATGTAGACATAAGAATTTAATTGGCCAAACAATATCCATTTCCCCTTATTCCTTCTTAACAGAACCCCACTTTTGTTCAGTGTAGCAATGTGTCCAGGCCCAAGTATTGAATCATGATTGATTCAAGTCAATCATGGCAATCTTGCTCTCCACTTTCCCAGCTTCCTTTGCCAACAGGGATGGCCGTATGATCCAGTTCTGGCTAATGAGAACAAAACAGAAGTCATCCAGGGAGGCTTCTGGGAAAGCGTTTGCTTTGTTAGATAGAAGAGACAGATTCAGCTTATATGGCTTGCCCCTTCCCCCAGTCTTCTTGCCTTGAATGCAGACATGATGTCTGGAGATGCAACAACCATTTTGCAACCAAGAGAAGACTAAGATGAGGACAAAAGCCCTTGTGCTAAGGATGGTCTTTTCATGTTCTGTGTAATATTTTTTTAACAGTCATCACATATATTATTGTAATATATGAATAATA